CGCCACGTCCTTCTAGAAATATCATGTTCCTTCATGAATGCTCTAGCGTTTACTAGATATGTGTTAGTCCTGTATATAAAAGACGGTCACAACGTGACGGGAACAATGAGTAATTGAACTGCAGTCCATTTTGGGTTCCGTACCTGAGTTCTAAAGGCGCTACCAGTGCTCTATAGTTGTGCCTGCCGTCTGCTGACAACTGTCCAAGTATTTCCAGTGGTTGTCCTTTCAAGCTCGTTGCCAGGTACTCTGCTTTCTGCTCCTCTGTCCATCCGTTCATTTCTGCCAGTAGCTCAAATTGTGCTTTATATCCTTCCCACGGTGCTTTCCCATCGAATTCCTGTGGCTTCCTTTGTACTGGATCACTCCTAGTACTGACATTCATATCTGGGATGTGACTTCTAACAGGACTGAAGATGTCTGCATTAGGGTTTAGCTGCGGGGCTGGAAGGGGCTGATTAAGTCGATGGTTAATGTATCCTCCTTGTGTAAAAGACAATGAATCGTCCTTTAACGTATCTAATTCGCTTTTAAGTTTACTAATGCTTTCCGTTTGTACTTCTTGTTTCCTTTCTTGTTCCAGTTGCCACTGCTGTAGTCTCTCTTCTTGTTTCTTTTCTTTTTCCTCCAACAACTGCTGTAATTTCTCTTCTTGTTTATTTTCTTTCTTCTCCAACCACTGCTGTAGTCTCTCTTCTTGTTTCTTTTCTTTTTCCTCTAACAACTGCTGTAATATCTCTTCTTGTTTATTTTGTTGTTCGAGCTGCCACTGTTGCAGGTTTTCTTGCAACTGCTGTTGTCCCTCTTCTTGTTTCTTTTGCTGTTCTTGTATTGCTGCCATAAAATCTGCTAAGCTGTAGTTTGATTTGCCGCCTCTCGTTTCTATTTTTTTTTCTGTCCCACTCTCTGACACCAATTTGTTACGTCTCCGATCGTTAGTTAATTTTCCGTAAATTCGTTCCGACGAAACTTTAGCGACACAAGTCCTTTCTTAAATAAAACTGGTTTATTCTTTCTGAATACAACTTTGCGATACACTTAATTTCAACAATCGCACTATAACAAACGCTATAATTCACAAAGAACGTCTCACGTGCTCAACAATATTCTCTCTCAGTCAGAAGTCTACAGGACTAGGTTCAGGACGAGAGTCCGTGCTAAGGGGGAGCCTGCAAGAGCTGGCACAGGACTTGGAAAGCATGGCACACAAGGCCTACCCAACTGCACCACCCGATCTCCTCAAGTTGTTGCTGAGGGATCAGTTCGTAGATGCCTTGAACAGTCCACAACTTAAGATACAAGTGAAGCAAGCACACCCCTCTACCATGCAGGATGCAATGGCCAGAGCTCTTGAATTTGAATCCTATGTAAAGTCCAGCACAGAGGTATCGAGGTTGGTACAGTCATCAGGATTCAAGCCAGAAAAGGTCAGCTTTGAGAGAGGTTTGAGGGACTTTGCTGGCACTGTAATAAACCTGGGCACAAGAGAGCTCAATGCTGGAAACTTCTACACAGAGGAGATGATACAGCAGGAAAGGCTGCTACCCAAAAAGGCTGTTGGAACTGTGGGGAGCAAGGACATCTGAGGAGCCAGTGTAAGAAAAATACCACCAATAAGTCAGCTTCGGGAAACCAGTAGTGGTTGGTGCTAAGGGACGCCCACCAACCTCCATCGTGAAAGTCCCAATAGTTAAGTGTAATATGGCAAGCACACATAGTATCTATGTGACAGGGAAGCTGGATGGCCAAAGGTGCAACTTCGTCATAGATTATGCATCTCAGCAAACCCTTGTGAGCATCAAGGTGCTGGATAACAAAGGAGTATGGTCCCCACAATCTTGCAGAATGTCCTGTCACACCACAGAGCTTCTGTACAGCTTCTGGGTAGATAGTCCAATCCTAATATGCATTGGTCTTCAATGTCAGCTAAGTATACTTTCTGTCTGTTCTTCATGCCTATGAGCTCGATAGTTACCCACACTACCGAGGAAGTGTGTAGTTAACTTCGATAAAATGACGATTGGAAACAACAAAGGCCAAATTCCAGTAAGTGTTGCCTCAGCTCCACTTTTAAAGCTTTCAGATCACTCACTTCCGTACATAATGGATTGTGATGTTAGTAATGTCGGAATTGGAGGAGTGTTATCTGGGCAAAAATGAACATGTGGTGGCCTACTTCAGCAAGGTTTTGAGTAGACCAGAGAGGAGCTATTGCGTAACACGGAGGGAACTCTTTGCTATAGTAAAGATTCTGGCATATTTCCATCCTTACCTCTATGGTGCCAGGTTTACCATCAGGACAGACCATGCTGTATTATGCTGGTTAATATCATTAAAAACCCAGAGGGACAGCTGGCACATTGGATCGGAAAGATATTGAATGATATTGAATACAGAGAAGGAAAATCTCATGGAAATGGCGATGGACTGAGCCGAAGACCCTGCAAAAATGACTGCAGACTTTGCTGCAAAAGAGAGATTGAGCTAACCAGGTGTCATCAAGCTGAAGTCAAAGCGACTGAAGGAGTTGATGATGGTGAAATGGAACCAGGTATAGATATTAAATCAGAGCAGGAGAAAGACCAAGATTTGAAGCCAATAATTGATTTTCTAAAAGCAAGTGTTTTGCGCCCTGAAGATGTGTCACCTGGAAAGGCAACTGTCGAAGAAGAAACTCTACTCGGTATTGAGAAGGGAAACAGTGAAGTCCTTCACGAAGTTACAACCACTGAGGTGACCAATACCTATGATAGGACAATTCCTGAT